GCGTTTTTGGGCCATGTGGTATCAAGTGAGGGCATAAAGGTGGATTTTCAGAAAATAGAAGCGGTGAAGAATTGGCCTAGACTAGTAAACCCTTCAGATATTTAGAGATTTTTGGGTTTAGCTGGCTACTATCGGAGATTTATTGAAGGTTTCTCATCAATTGCATCACCCTTGACCAAATTGACCCAGAAGAGGGTGAAATTCCAATGGTCGAAGGCTTGTGAGAAGAGTTTTCATGAGTTGAAGACCGTACTTACTTCAGCACCTGTGTTAACTCTACCGGAGGGTATTGATGGGTTCGTGGTGTATTGTGATGCTTCAAGGATCAAAGTTGGGTGTGTATTGATGCAACACGGGAAAGTGATAACATATGCCTCTAGGCAGTTGAAAGTACATGAGAAGAATTACCCAACCCATGATCTTGAATTGGCAGCGGTGGTATTCTCCTTGAAGATATGGCGACATTATTTGTACGGAGTCCACGTGGATGTATTTAAGGACCATAAGAATTTTAAATATGTGTTCACCCAGAAGGATCTCAATCTTTGGCAAAGGAGGTGGTTGGAGCTACTCAAGGACTATGATATGAGTGTCCTTTACCATTCGCGTAAGGCTAATATAGTAGCGGACACGCTTAGTAGACTCTCTATGGAGTGTGTGTCTCATGTGGACGAGGAGAAGAAGGAGATGGTAAAGGATGTGCATCGACTCACAAGGTTGGGAGTTAGGTTGGTTGAATCGACCAATGGTGGTGTTGTGGTTCAGAACGGATCAGAATCTTCCCTAGTGACTGATGTAAAAGATAGACAAGATGAGGATCCGATTTTGGTAAAGTTAAAGGAAGCCATTCAGAATTAGAAGGTGGAGGCCTTCTCCAAAGGGGGAGATGGTGTGCTTCGGTACCAGGGTCGTCTATGTGTTCAAGATTTTGGTGATTNTTATCATACTTAGAAATACTCAATTCTCATTGAAAACAAAATTGTAAATATGGTGTGCTTCGGTACCAGGGTCGTCTATGTGTTCAAGATTTTGGTGATTTGAGGAGCCGGATGTTGCACGGGGCTCATGGATCCAGGTATTCTACCCATCCAGGTGCCACCACGATATACCGTGACTTACGGGAAATCTATCGGTGGAATGGCATGTAAATGGGCATAGCAGAATTCATAGCTAAGTGTCTGAACTGTCAATAAGTAAAGGTTGAGTTTCAGAGACCGGGGGTGTGCTTCAAGACATCATTATTCCTACTTAGAAGTGGGAAGATATTAACATGGACTTCATCACAGGATTACCTACTTGGAAGTGGGATGAAATTTGGGTTGTGGTAGATAGGTTGACCAAGGATGCCAACTTTCTACTGGTCAAAACCACGAGTTTGGTAGAGGATTATGCCAAACTATATATTCGGGAGCTAGTTCGATTGCATGGAGTGCCCTAATCCATTATTTCAGATAGAGGTACCCAATTTATCTCTCAGTGTTGGAAGTCATTTCAAAAGGACTAGATAGTCAGGTTAAGCTCAGCACTGCATTTCACCTGCAAATGAATGGTCAAGTAGAGCTCACAACCCAGATTCTAGAGGACACGTTGAGAGCATGCGTGATTAACTTTAAAGGTAGTTGGGATGAGCACTTTCCTCTTATAGAGTTTGCATATAATAACAGCTATCATTTCAGCATCCAAATGGCCCCATATCAGGCTCTCTATGGGTGGAGATATAGATCGCCCATTGGTTGGTTTGAGGCTAGTGAAGTGGCGATGGTAGGACCATATTCAGTTCATGAGGCTATGAAGAAGGTTCAATTGATAAGGGACGGGTTGAAAATCACTCAAAGTCCCAAAAAGTCCTATGCCGACGTGAAAAGGAGAGAATTATAATTTGAAGTTGATGATTGGGTATTTCTGAAGGTGTATCTCATGAAGGGAGTGATGAGGTTTGGAAAGAAGGGGAAACTTAGTCCCTGCTATGTGGTCCCGTACCGGATAGTGAGACGAGTTGGCAAGGTGGCTTACAAATTGGAGTTTCCCTAAGAATTAGCTTCTGTGCATCCCGTATTCCATGTATTGCTTTTAAAGAAGTGTTTGGGTGATGCAGCTTTAGTTGTCCCGGTGGGTAGTGTTGGTGTGAAGGACAGTCTCAATTATGAGGAGGTTCCGTTAGAAATACTGTATCATCAAGTTCGAAGGCTAAGGAACAAGGAAGTAGCTTTAGTTAAGGTGTTATGGAGGAATCAGCATGGTAAGGGAGCTATGTGAGAAGCCGAAGTGGATATGATGGCTAAATACCCACATTTATTCTCTACCGGCTCAGTTCCAGCTTGAGGTATCAGTTTTTTCACTAAAACTCTATTGTTTTTCATGTTCAGTTCAGGTGTCCAAGTTTCTTATACCCTGAAAGCCCAAAGATCAGACTCGGGAGTTTAAATGGAGAAAAGTTTAAAAACTGGCACTAGGCACAAGATGGGTCATGAGGTGACCCATGGGAGCAAACCATGAGTTGTGATATGACTCGTGGTGAGGTCCAGGTGAAGAGTTTGAAATTTGGGAACTGCCTCCCCACAGACATGACCACGAGTCGTGGTCATGCCCCATGACTCGTTTGATTAGTCGTAGGGAGTGGTGTTTGGCTAAAGAGGAGAAAAGAGACAGTGGACTTAACGAGAGGAACCCACCAGTAGTGGTCAGTTCCTACGATTCGTGGGATGAGTCATGACCAAGCAAGGAAAAATTTATTTGAGGATGAGAAAGTGCACATCACGGATAGTGACCATGAGTCGTGATCACCAGGTAACGAGTCGTTATGTCTTCTGTTAGGAGCCCAGAAGACTTGTGAAGCAGTGAACTTCACGGACGACTCCAAGAGTCTTGGATCTTGATGATGAATCATTAGGTCCATTGTTGGGACTATCTAGCAGTTATTTTCTTCTAATTTAGAAAGGTCCTAAGATTCTAAGTCCTAAACTACGTCATTTTGAGTTATGAATGATGACTTTTAAAGAGGTTAAGTTCATTTTAGGCCATATTCATTTGTGCATGCAAGGTAGAAGGTGAGAGAGGGTGATCAAGCTTAATGTTCTTCAATTCCTATTGGGCATTTAAAGAAGTGTAGCAATCAACTACTAATATGAATGTAAAGTTATGAATGGGTGTTTTCGTTCACACCCATGCTCAATCTCTCCTAATTCATGAAGTTTTGTTTAGAAATCTTATAGGATTTTAACTTAAATCCTTGCGGAATTCTAATGATATTTCGATGGGTTATTACTTCTCATGTTTTACGCCATATTTTATGAATCATGACCATATTTCACAACTAATTCGATTATAAATTTACTAATTTTAATTTCTACTAAATTATGCCTAATTATGCAAGTTCTATGATGAATTGAGTTATGATCTTTAATTCAATTGTTGATATTTATAAACCCATCATGATTTATGAGTGATAATATGGATTTATTCAAATGTCCATTATGATTTTATGATTTACAAAGTCTATGCCTGATTTACAAGTATGCATGAATCTCATGATTTACTAATTACGTTTTTTGGCCGACTGACGGGCCTTATCCTCATGGCTAGTCATGTATTTACAAGCATGCTTATGATTATCATGATTTAACTAGCCCATGAATCTCGTGCATATTATACTATGAGCACTATAAATATTTTGGGAGTAGTATTTACAACCGAGAAGGTTTGGGCCCAAGTCTTAGCCCAAATGTCAAAACTATGTGCCACCGTAGGACATGATGGGACCTACCTTGTGACTGTCCCTTTCCCAAATGGGACCTTTCATGTGTGATATCATGCCCTTCATGTTCTACCCTTGGCAAGGTACGAACACCTTCCCGACTAGGAATTTACAGGTCGGGCTCTATGTGTGCACATATGGGGTATGTCGGTTATAAGAATCTCTCATTGTTCCGCATGTTTTATGTATTACATTTATGTTAATTTGTCTCAAATGATGATTATAAAGATTCTCTTATGACCATGGAGTTGAATGAATTATGAATGATTTTAAAAGCTTGAGCCTTATGTTATCATATGATATTCATGTTATGAGCATGTTGTCCCACTCTTATGATCTCTTATGAGTTTAAATTTATTTTTAAATGTACATTTTACTTATCTTGCATACTCGGTACATTCTACGTATTGACCGCATACTCTATGTTGTATCATTTCATGATACAGGACCTGGCTCTCGGGCTTACCCCTGTTCATCGTCAGTCTTCTAAGATAGCATCACACATTGGTAAGTCCTCATCTCCCACGGACTACACTTATTCAAATTTTCTCTATGTACTTTCAATTTCAGCTTTATTGAGTTAGTTGGGGTCTTGACCCATCTACTCGTCATGTTTAGAGGCTTTTCAGAGATATGAATGTATTCAGCTTCAGATTCTATATTCTGATGTTATGTAAATCTAGACTTTTGCTATGATTATCTTGTTGATTCTTATACTTTATTGATTGAGTTTGACGTATGCTTATTCCATGAGTCGACTTGGAGTATCTCGGGGCTCCTTGTCTCATTTTTTAATCCGGGGCTCAGTTCGGGTCGTGAAAAGAAGGAACAATGGGAGACTCATCATATAACCAACATGTCATGATAGAGCTAATGACGTCCCAACTATCACACTCAAGTGGGTAGAGCCGTCCAAAACTTTGCCAGGGCTAAGGATGATACTTTGATATCGATATCAAGCTCGGGGCCCAATAAGGGCAAGGGATAGCTCACATAGGAGGTCCTAATATAATATTATCATACCTACGTTGGCACGTAGTTCTGAGGCATAGGGTTGACTGACTCATAGCCTACTCGGTGCTAGACACTACTCCCAAAAATATGCATATTCTCTTCATCATTTTCCAATGAAGCTGACCAACATCTATTGACGAAGCTAAAAGATCATGAATACATAAATTTTAATTATACATGAGGAGCTTTGGTTCAAACCATACCACAAGCTGAACATAAATGAGAGTCTTTTGCTCTTAGTTCAGTTCGGTAGAACGTGGGTCTCCAAAACTTGATGTGGCAGGTTCTTGCTCCAAATCCATGTGGTAAGCTAAATTCGTAAAACCATAATCATACTTGAACATATGGGGATTGCCCGATACTTTAACATGCTTGAAAACACTTGTCTTGAAAACATGATCATATACATGGGTAACTTGAAACATACTTTTCATCATAAATATCTCATCATACTAAAACATTCATCATAAATCTCAACTTTTATGAACTTCTCATAATTGGGCATTTTAAATTTATAAAGCTTGAAATGTGATTTTGATTGAAAACAACGTAAAACTTGCCCATGAATCATAATTCAATAATAGAAGCACCTTTAAATCATACCCATGTAGTAAATTAGGAATTTCATGCATTGGGTTAAAACCTCATAGATTCAACATAGGAATTTCATGATTTAGAGAGAGGTTGGGCATGGGTGTGAATGGATTCACCCATCCATAACCCAAAATACCTGGGGAAGAACTGATTTTACCTCTCCTTGATTGCCCGATGAAAGATTGAAGGAAACTTGAAGAAAAGGAGCTCGATCACCTCTCTAACCCTCTAACTTTGCATGCATGAGTAACAATGGCCTAAAATGAACTTACCCTCTTAAAACTCCATATCTTAAAATGACGTAGTTTAGGCCTTAGGATCATAGGAATTACTTTAAATCCCTTATTAAATTTGCAGGAAATAACTGACTGCTAGTCGTAACGAGGGACTGGACGAGTCGTCTCCCAAGGGAACGAGTCGTGGCATCGGTCGTTGAGTGCACTGCCTAATAGATCATCTGGGGCTCTGCACGGGGGATCTCATGAGTCATTACCGGTGACCATGACTCATGGTCACCACTCGTCACCTTCATTGCCTAAGAATCAAATTATTTCCAACCTGCTGACCACGACCCATCCCATGAAACGTGGGGACTGACCCCGACTCGTTGTCAAGTCCGTGGGGACCTCAAATTCCAAAACATCAACCCAAGCCTTAAACCTGACCACGAGTCTCCTCACGACTCGTGGTCTACCCCACGGGTCATAAAATGACTCGTTCTATGTCCTGGTGCCTGATTTCTAGTTTTTCTCGGGTCTGAACTTTGAGCTTTCGGCGTATAACAATTTCTCTCCCTTGGGAACATTCATCCTTGAATGTTCAAATTATAGAGAAAAGCAGAGAAATGCAATCATTATATTCAAATACTGATCACATAATCTGAAAGATGACTGAATGACAAACTCTGATTCAAACTACATGGCTGAACTGAACTCACAAACCATACATACATACTTTGACATAAGAGAAACTTGGGCACATGAACTGAACATGAAAAAAAATAGAGTACTAGGGCAAAAACTAGTACCTCAAGATGGAACTAAGTCGGTAGAGAATAAAGGTGGGAATCTAGCCATCATGTCTGCTTCGGCTTCCCACGGAGCTCCCTCAACATGTTGATTCCTCCATAACACTTTGACTGAAGCTACTTCTTTGTTTCTTAGCTTTCGAACCTGATGATCCATTATTTCCACTAGAACTTCCTCATAACTAAGGTTGTCTATCGCACCAACACTTTCAACCAAGACAACTAAAGCTTGATCACCCAAACACTTCTTTCAGAGCGATATATGGAAAACAGGATGCACGGAAGCTAACTCTAAGGGAAACTCCAATTCATATCCCACCTTGACAACCCATTTCAAAATCCGTTAGGGGCAAATATAAAGAGGGTTGAGTTTACCTTTCTTTCCAAACCTCATCACTCTCTTCATGGGAGACACCTTCAGAAACACCTAATCATCCACTTTAAACTCTAGTTCTCTCCTTCTTACATCAGCATAGGATTGTTGGCGACTTTGAGCTATCTTCAACCTGTCCTGTATGAGTTGAACCTTCTCCATAGCTTCATGGACTGAATACGGTCCTATAATCATAGCTTCACCAACTTCAAACAAACCAATAGCTGATCTACATCTCCACCCATGGAGAGCCTCAAATGGAGCCATCTGGATGCTGGAATGGTAGCTGTTATTTGATGCAAACTCAATAAGAGGCAAATAATCATCCGAATTACCTTTGATGTCAATCACACATGCTCTTAACATGTCCTTGAGATTCTGAGTTGTCCGCTCCGCTTGACCATCCGTTTGTGGGTGAAATGTTGTACTAAGTTTAACCTGAGTACCCAATCCTTTTTTAAATGACCTCCAAAACTGAGAGGTAAATTGGGTACCTCTGTCTGATATTATGGATAATGGCACACCATGTAATCGAACTACCTCTTGGATGTATAGTTTGGCGTAATCCTCCATCGAATCCGTGGTTTTGACGGGTAAAAAATGAGCAATTTTGGTCAACCTGTCTACAACAACCCAAATGGAGTCATACTGGCGACGAGTGCAAGGTAGCCCTGTTATGAAGTCCATATTGATATCTTCTCACATCCAAGTAGGAATACTGATATCTTAAAGCACGCCTCTCGATCTCTTATGCTCAACTTTCACTTGCTGATAGTTCGGGCACTTAGCTACAAATTTTGCGATGTCTTTCTTCATGCCATTCCACCAATAGACTTCCAATAAATCACGGTACATCTTGGTGGCACTTGGATGTATCGAATACCTAGATCCATCGGCCTCATGTAGCATCCGGTTCCTCAAATCATCAACATCTAGAATGCATAAGTGACCCTGGTATCGAAGCACACCATCTCTCCTTTTATAGAGGACCTCCACGTTCTGATTCTGGACGGCTTCTTTAACTTTACCAAAATGGGATCCTTGTCTTTTCTAGCTTTTACATCAATCACCAAGGATGATTCTGATCCTTTCTGAACTATCACACCACCATCGGTCGAGTCAACCAAACGAACTCCCAAACGTGCAAGTCTATGCACATCTTTCACCAATTCCTTCTTTTCCTCCTCAATATTGTACACACTCTCTATAGATAGTCTACTAAGAGTGTCGGCTACTACATTGACTTTGCCCGGGTTGTATAGGACACTCATATCATAATCCTTGAGTAGCTCCAACCACCTCCTTTGACGCAGATTGAGATCCTTCTGAGTAAACACATAATGTAGGCTCTTGTGGTTCGTAAATACATCTACGTGGATGCCGTACAAATAGTGTCTCCATATCTTCAAGGCAAATACCACTATCGCCAATTCAAGATGATCAGTCGGATAATTCTTTTCATGCTCTTTCAGCTGTCTAGAAGCATAAGCTATAACCTTTCTATGCTACGTTAATGCACATCCAAGTCCGATCCTTGAAGCATCACAATAAACCACAAACCCATCTGTGCCCTTGGGTAGGGCAAACACTGGTGTTGAGGTGAGTCGAGCCTTCAACTCTTGGAAGCTCTTCTCACAAGTCTTTAACCATTGGAACTTTACCTTCTTCTGGGTCAGTTTAGTCAATGGTGCTGCAATAGATGAAAACCCCTCATCAAATCTCCAATAGTAGCCCGCTAAGCCCAAGAAACTCCTGTTATCTAAAGGATTCACCGCCTCTATTTTTTATGAGTCTACTTACACGTCCTCATTAGACACCACATGACCCAAGAACTCTGTGAAATTTAACCAAAACTCACATTTGCTGAATTTTGCATACAATTGACGATCCTTCAAAGTCTGCAACACCACCCTCAAATGAGCAGTATGATCCTCCTCACTCCGAGAGTATATAAGGATGTCATCAATGAAAATGATCATGAAAATTTATATATATGGATTGAACACCCTGTTCATAAGGTCCATAAAAGCTTTTGGAGCATTTGTTAGTTCAAAAGACATAACTACAAACTCATAGTGGCCATACCGTGTACTGAAGGCTGACTTCGAGATGTCACTCTCTCGAACCCTGAGCTGATGGTACCCAAATCTAAGATCTATCATTTCGAAGCACTTGGTAACGGGAAGTTGGTCAAACAAATCATCAATCCTAGGTAGAAGATACCTATTCTTGATGGTGACCTTGTTCAATTGTCAATAATCAATACACATATGAAGAGAACCATCTTTCGTGCGAACAAAGATAATTGGTGCACCCCATGGGGTCTTGCTCAATCTAATGAAACCCTTATCCAAACGATCCTTCAGCTCTTTTAGCTCGGCTGGAGCCACTCTGTAGGGAGGAATAGATATAGGTTGCGTGTCGGGAAGAAGGTCAATACCAAAAGCAATCTCCCACTCGGGAGGGATTTCTGGTAGATCATCAGGGAAGACTTATGGATATCACATACTACTAGGACTAACTGGATAGTCGGTATCTCGAATGTAGCATTCTTAACCCTAACTAAATGGTACACACAACCTTTGGAGATCATCTTTCTGGCGTTAAGATTGGAAATGAAATGACCTGCAAGCACAGCTGAAATACCCTTCCACTCTATGACTGGATCACATGAAAATCTGAACTCTACTGCATGGGTTCTACAAATAACTGAGGCATAATATGCATATAGCCAATCCATGTTATACCTTGGAAGCCCAAAGATCAGACCCGGGAGTAGAAATGGAGAAAAAATTAAAATCTAGCACCAGGCACAGAACGAGTCATGAGGAGACCCATGAGAGGAGCCCACGAGTCGTGATGTAACTTGTGGGGAGGCCTAAGGAATGAATTTGAAATTTGGAAATGAGACCCCCACGGGCATGACCACAACTCGTGGTCAGGCCCCACGAGTCGTTAGGTCAGTCATGGTGTGGGTGAGTAAGAAAGAAGAACAAGAGAAGTAGTGCACTCGATAGAAGAACCCCATGAGTTGGGGTCAGTCCCCATGATTCGTGGGGAGGGTCGTGGTCAGCTAGTTGAATAATTAATTGGTATGGGGGCAATGTACATAACGGGTGGTGACCACGAGTCGTGGTCACCAGTGAAGGATCATGATGTTTCCCGTGACGAGCCCAGTTGATCAGATGAGCAGTGTACTTGATGGACGACTCCACGAGTTGTGGTCCAGGGTAACGAGTCGTTAGGTCCCCTATTTGGACCATATGATAGTTATTTTCTACGAATTTAGTAAGGGCTTTTCCGTAACTTCTAAGATCC